GGTTTCTCATGCTCAATCTGTGATTGGTAGACAATATATATGGTCTCGGCAGTCTACACTATACTGCATGCCTGTGCAGTCACTAACAGTGTTCAATTCTACTAACTACTATCTGCCCTCTCAGGATGGCCCAGATGTGGTATGCAATGTACATGCACCACCAAGCCCAGCTGAAGATAGTCGAGGGTCTTAAATCCCTTGATGTTACAAATTCTCCAAGGGAGACAAGTGAACATCATCATAAGCACACCTTTCAGCTGCTTGAAATTGCCAAGGAGTGGCATACACAATTCAACAAACTTGTCAGCCATCAGAAAGACTATGTGGAGTCTCTGAATAGTTGGTTGAAGTTAACTCTCATCCCTATCGAAAGCAGCTTGAAGGAGAAAGTGTCATCTCCACAAAGGCCGGCTCATGCCCCAATTCAGTCTCTCCTGCATGCATGGCATGAATATCTCGGAAAGCTTCCAGACGAGCTTGCAAAGAGTGCCATCCTCAGCTTTTCAGCAGTCATAAACACAATAGTGACACTCCAACAGGAAGAGCGAAAGCAGAAAGAGAAGTGCGAGGAGGCCCACAAGGAGTATTCGAAGAAGAATCGGGCGTTCGATGACTGGTTCCAGAAGTATTCACAGAGGAGGATGGGTTCATCGGTTGGCGAGCCCGATGGTGGAGAGGGATCAAATCAAAAGGACCCAGTGGAGGAAAGGAGGTTTATGGTGGAGTCACTCAAAAGCAAGTTTGATGAAGAAGTTGAAGCCCACAGAAGGTTGTGCAAGCAGGTGAGAGAGAAATCACTGAGTAGTCTCAAGACCCACTTGCCAGAGCTTTTCCGAGCTATGTCGGACTTCGCTAATGCTTGTTCCAAGATGTATGCCAGCTTAAAGATGATCACGGAGCAGGATCCTCCAACTAACTAGCTCCTTAGCAAATCTGCAGAGGTGTCTTTTTTGCAGAGGTGTCTTTTTTGTGCATTTTCGTGTCCTAGTCATGTTGTGGTTTTCATTTGCATGTGGCAATCAGCCTGGTGAACAGCTTTGTGTTGGATTAGCTTAAGTTTATCAGTGCATGTATTTATGTTCCAACTGGGTTGGGTAAAGAAAGCTTGGCATCCCTCCATCTTTTGCCTTGTACCCATTTTTGTGAGGGTCCCGAAGAAACGAGATCTAATGCTGCTTGATGGGTGATGTGTTGCTGCAGTTCTACAATGAACTACTTCCTATGTAATGGTTCCAAAGGATAAAGACACCAAATAGATAGAGATGAATGTAGTTTTGATTATTATCATCGTAAATAGTTGAGAGTTATCAAATTAATAGATCAAGTCGGATGATGATAAATACTATCATGATTGATATAATATTGGATATGATCTGGCACAGTCAATAGCTAATATTCAAAATGGTGAAGGATGTAAGGATTATTAGTGGACGGATTGGGTGGGAGACATGTAAGGATAGGCTTGGATGCAGATAAGTATTCAACATTATTGTGGTGGGTTCAATTAGAAAATTATTACTCAAATTCACATTATGATAAAAATAAAAATAAAAGATTTTAGGATACTAATCAAGAAAGAATTATTGGTGGATGAAATTAAAGATATTACAATATGAAATAAATCTTTGATGAGAATATTCTCTCTTAAATATCAAAGAATGTAAATGACCGAATAAGAAATGATTACATGTAGATTGGACCCAAAAAGCATTAGTGTATTTTATTTTCTTGCGGAAAACCCATTACATCATAATCAAATTCTATTTTTTTGTGTTTGTCTTGCAATCTTTTGTTTTCAGGATATTTCTCCGGGAATGAAATGGAGAAACAAAGAATAAATCCTTCAAATTAATGCGTAACATTTTTCTTCCGAAAAATACTTTTTTTTTCACACTTCTTTCGATTTTATTTCCCTTGAAGCATTGGAAAATAAACTTAATTTATTTATCTTTATCCCTTGTGTTTAGACCACAAACAAAAGATTATAGTCAATAAGCCATCATAAAAAGGTATATACACCATAAAAAAGTGTGAAAATTCGTTATCAAATGGTTTATTTTATTTTATTTATGCTTTCCATTAAATTCGTTTATTTTATTATGGTCTCGTGAACATGCTTGTTCATAGACTTGCAAGTAAAAGAGTCAACTATATATGTCATGAAAAAACTTATAAGTTAATGATGAAGTATATATCTAAACACCTTAAACTACAAAATATAAGTCTTTAATTCACTTTTTATATTTTTATTTAATCAACAGAACTATTGTCACACTTTGAACTTAATAAAAAAGAGGTCTTGGTTTCAATTCTCGCCGAAGATTAGACCGTTTGATGTTTGACGGTCAACACTCAAAAAAGACATGTCGTCGAAGATTTAAAAAAGTTTACATTGAAATTCCTATAATTACGAAAGTAAAACTTACATATTCATTTACTCTACAATCTATCTTACTAACGGAAACACGAAAGTAATAAGTAAAAAGATAATTTCAATATTTTAGTTAATAGTGATGGACAACGACACCATTGGGGAGCCGTATGTGACTATTATGGATGAGAAAAGTGACGACAAGATATGAGGATCACTCTACATGTACATCGATGTTGATGTAGTTACCAAGCGACGAAAGTGCCGGTCACTATGTAGATATTAATACAAATGCTGAGCAACGAAAGGATCGTCAATGCATATATTGAGCAATCCTTTTGGTGCTCGACAACTATATTGACGTCGACGTAAATATAAAACAACGAAAGGATTATTCATTGTGTCGACGTCGACGTAGTTGTCGAGCGACAAAAGGATTGTCATTGTTGCTCCACAACTAATCAACTTTGATGTGGATAGAAAATAGCTCTCATCCTTTGTCATCGTTCTCCTCGTCTATAATAACCATCGGTGACCCATAGTGGTGTTATTATCCGTCACAATCAACACATTCATTATCACTAACTGGAGTATTGAAATTATCTTTTGCCTATTTGTTTTTATATTTTCATCAATAAAATCAATGATGTTAAAATAAATAAATCTAGATATTTTACTTTTATAACTAAAAAAATATTAATATAATTTTTTAAATTTAAAATTTAAAATACTAAAGAGATTTAATTACAGGGTGATATGCAATTATCCCCTTAAATGCTTTCTCCTCCTCCTCATCTCCGTCTCAGGTAGTTGAGGCTTTAGTATTTTAATATATAAATAATAAACGATAACGAATAAAAATCCTCTCGCTCCATCGTCTCCCTCTCTGTCGCTCGCTCATCACGCGCACGCTATGGTGGCCTTATCGTCGAGCTTTCTGTCTTCCTCCCCCCTCACTGCTCCTGTTCTCCACCTCGGTTCGCGATTCGACGTCACGAGGACGGCGGCTACCAAAACGGCCGTAGATGACGCCGGGGGTTTCGCTAGGGTATTGAGGTGCGCAGTCGGCCCTCGGCCCAGGAAGGCGTCCGGCGCTCCTCGCCCTCCTACGACTACTCGTTCAACTGCGACTTCGCCCCGCTTTCGCTCGACTCCCAAGCGCGCCCCGGTAGCGGCTGCCCCCGCGGCCGGTGCTCCACCGAAGAAGCGGCACTGGAAGGAGGGGGAGTTCCCAGGGATCTCCGAGAGCTCCGTCTCTCGGCGGCCGCGGACGCCCATCAAGAACCTCAAGAAGAAGGCGGACGACCGCGCCACCGCCAAGGCCTGGGCCTGCACCGTCACCGAGGCCCTCGCGGATCGGATCCAGAAGAAGCAGTGGCAGGAGGCGCTCGAGGTTCTCGAATTCCTTCTCCTCCTCCTCAAATCATTGTTCTTGTGTTATTTTGCCCCTTTGCCTACTTTAATTTAAAGTTCCCCCCAAGTTTACTCGATAAGAAACTAGAAAAACTGGTTGTCACCTGTTTAGTCAATTTCAGTGAAGTAAAATGCCATCCGAACCTACAATTAGAAACGCTTTCTTGGAAGAGCTTGTGCATTACTTGGGAAATGTTGATGGGTTTGTGGGACAATAGCACAATGCTAATCCATTTAATCTCTGAGATTTAAGATTGCATTTTTTTGTTCTTTCAGGTGATAACACAGGAGTAACATTTTGTGATTGGAAAAGGATTACATAAATATATGGAATCCACGGTTAACTAATTATTTGTTAGAGCTGCAAGAAATGATGTGGACAAAAAAGGATATTAATTTTTTTGTTCTTTTGTTTTCTGTGATCTGCATCAACTCAAACTAGTGTGTTATATGGGACAATGTCCAGTTACAACTAAACTCAAAACACTGGACCACAATACTTATATGATTACATGCTTGAGTGAATTTAGTCTCCATCAGTGTGGCTGGGTTAGCTTTGATCTGGATACTTTTGGTGCTTGATGTTTCTTTAAGAACATTGGCAACCGACACAACACCACAACAAAGGAGAGGGGAAAAAAAAAAGGGGCAAAATAAGGTATAACTTAAGGACTCTGAATGTATATGTGTGATACAATTAACCAAATTTCATTTTTGAAGATACTCTTGCAATCTAGAAAATGAATTACTTGCCACAAAAACCACTGTGACTTTTGCTTTCTACTTGACTGTGACTTTTGCCGTGAGATATCAACACTGTCCAAATCTATCCTCTTTCATTTTATTGTTTGTGTAGATCATCTTGTTTGGACATGCTAAACTTTCTACTCTGCATCTAATTCAATGTTTGTGTCGTCATCACTTTCTCACAGTCCCAAGTTTTCTGCTGTGGTTTATTTCCTTTTGTAGTTATCTATGTCTTTTGAACTTGTAATTTATATTTTACTAGTTTGTAGGTCTTTGATATGCTCAAGGAGCAATCCTTTTACTCTCCAAAGGAAGGCACATATATGAAACTCCTCCTCCTCCTTGGAAAATCAGGTCAGCCCATTCAGGTGCAGAAACTCTTTAACACTATGGAGGAAGAAGGTTGTCAACCCACTTCTGAGCTATACACAGCATTGCTTGCGGCTTACTGTAGGAGCAACCTACTGGATGAAGCATTTTCTGTCCTAGTCAAGATGAAGACGTTGCCCCATTGCCAACCAGATGTCTATACATACAGTACACTCATAAAGGCTTGTGTTGAGGCATCTAGATTCGATCTGGTTGATTCTCTGTATCAAGACATGTCAGAGCACTTGATAACCCCAAATACTGTTACCCAAAACATAGTTCTCAGTGGCTATGGAAAGGCTGGCAAATTTGATGAGATGGAGAAAGTTCTCTCTGGGATGCTGGAAAGTACAACTTGCAAACCTGACGTCTGGACTATGAATATCATCCTAAGCCTATTTGGAAATGTGGGTCAGGTTGACATGATGGAAAAATGGTATGAGAAGTTCCGTAGCTTTGGAATCGAACCAGAGACACGTACTTTTAACATTTTGATCGGTGCTTATGGAAAGAGACGGATGTATGATAAGATGACATCAGTTATGGAATACATGCGGAAGTTAGCATTTCCGTGGACCACCTCCACTTATAACAATGTGATTGAGGCCTTTGCAGATGTCGGGGATGCAAAAAATATGGAGTACGCTTTCAATCAGATGCGAGCCGAGGGGATGAAAGCTGATACTAAGACTTTCTGCTGCCTGCTTAATGGCTTCAGCATTGCAGGTCTCTTTCACAAGGTAGTGAGTACTGTTCAGCTAGCTGAGAGGCTGGAGGTACCAACTAACACATCTTTCTACAATGCTGTCATCTCCGCGTGCGCTAAAGCGGGTGATCTTCTGGAGATGGAGAGAGTTTTCAAGCATATGAATGAGAGGCATTGTGCTCCAGATACTGTCACATATCACATCTTGGTTGAAGCATACAGGAAGGAAGGAATGACTGATAAGATTTATGATCTGAAGCAGGAAAATCCAGGTATGGTTGAACTTGAGCTTGTAACTCCATGAAAATGCTTCAGTATGCAGGAAAGCTGTCGAAGATTCAGTAATGCCTTCTTTTCGGCAACGATGAACAAAGTTATCTGACGATGCATCATTGCAAAGATGGGTGGCTAACTTCTTATTTAAGAAGACTTGACTGGAGAGCAAGATATCGTTTTGTTTGCTCGATAATTTGACCCTCACAGCCCCATTTTGCCATGCCAAAGCAACCAAGGAGCAAGATCGTAACACACCGAGGGGACTCGATGACTGTGCATGCAGCCTCCCACTGTTATTTTATCGCAGAATGCATCTATTTAATTATCAATGACATTTCAGCAGAGTTCTGCATTTGCTTTGGTACTTTCTTGTTTATTATCTGACAGTTTTAAGGTTCTCCATGTTCATTCTATCTGGACAATTTTGGTAAGTTTTACTGATTATGGTTGATTCTTTTATATTCCTATGAAGTTTTCTGATGGCTTGATTTGTGTATTATTTTATATCCGAATAAGATGTAGTTAATATACTGTTTGTATTGGGACTTCCTGAAGAGGAAAAAGGAAAAGGGTAAAAGTTGAATGTTTTGTTGGGCTATATGATAAATCATCTTTTATTTTTATCGACGCAAGCACAATATCATCAATTGTTGGCAACGAAGGCATGATATCATGAATTGTTCACAACAAAGGCTTTCGTTGTAATGTTTATGGTTTTTTAGTTTATGTATGCCTTAAGCGACGTATAAGGGATTTGTAGTAGGTTTGGTAGTCTCATTGTGATAAAGCAACGAGTTGCTTGGATCTTTTACACACGAAGTCCAGTTTTGTATTTTGTAGTATCTATAAAACATTTGCTTAATTGTCTATTTGTGGAATTGATAGTTGCCCACTGACTCATTTGTTTATTAACTGGTTTCTTTTTCTTATGGGTCCCTATGGAACTATATAAGGTTATGGAGCAACTAATCTTTTATAGACAAATACTGGAAGCGTGTCATATGATTTAGCTAAAACCAATTAAGTTTATGATATATGATATTAGAGTAGAGTGGGACAAGCATACAAACAATAACTTGACATACAACTTAGTAGTATAGTGGGGTTGCATGGATGACAGTTTATACACGTAATTGTTTGGGGAAAATAAGCATAGAGACATGGGGAATGGAACTCTTAAAGGAGTAGACATCTAAGAATTGGTGTTCGGATGAATGATTAACCCCTCACACGTGAGATCTCATAAAGTCAAGTGAGTTAGGATAAATATGTATTCATACAACGGTTGAGATGATTGATTTCAAGTTATATCTCAAGATCATCAACCTAACTTGATGGTGCCCGATGCAAACCTGAGTGCTTAACAAAGGAGGAGATCATGCAAATTGTGAATGGGTTGATCAGTGACCAAAAGAGTTTGTGCAAAGGCTCATGAAGATGAGATAAATTATCAACTCAAAGAATTTATTATAGGATGGCTTGTGTATAGTGACCAAAAGAGTTTGTGCAAAGGCTCATGAAGATGAGATAAATTATCAACTCAAAGAATTTATTATAGGATGGCTTGTGTATAGACTACGGGTGCTTGTAGCCATTCTAAGGAGGAGATCGTGCAAATCATGAATGAGTTGATCTATGATCGAAAGAGTTTGTGCAAGGGCTCGTGGAGATGAGAGAAATTGTCAACTTGAAGAATTTATTATAAGATGGTTTGTGTGTGGACTATGGGTACTTAAAGTCATTCCAAGGTGACTGAAACTTGATGCTTAGAGTGAGTATTTTCTCGTCTACATGATGGACAAGGATGCATATATAAGACTCTAAACTACAAGGTTCAACACATTGCTAGGCGTTATTGGCATAGCAAAGGATTGTATCAACAAAATGTTACGATCTAGCAAGTACATTTGTAATGGTAATACTTTATGTTATTTATAAGATGGAGTATTTTAGAGATGCTGGTTTTTGAAACTTCAAAGAGATGTAAGGAGAAAAGTTTCTCTAATATGAGAAGTCTTTAGAGATAAGCCTCATATTTTCGACGGATGATTCATGTGCAATAGACCACACACATTAAGGAGATACCTAACGGTGGACTTCATAAATCTCAAAGAATGTCGAAATTAAGCATACTACAAGGAGTCATCATAAGATCATAAGACAAACAGGCAATTTAGCTAATGAAGAGTACATTAGACTCAACAGAAGATTAACCTATGCAATAATGGATGCATAGACCATTATTATCTCAATATAGATTGAGTGAATCAACTTGGGTAGGACATGTCACTTACAAATGCTAGAGAAGAACTATGACATTCCTAAAGTTTCATTATTTCAACGGAGCAAGTCCAAAGAAAGCTTCGAGACACATATACCTAATTTAGATAATATGATTGACAAAGGCACCAAAGGTAGGAGACTTGACTCAACTAATAGTGATAAAGTTGGAGTTTGATATCCTTAGCGTAGGGCAAAAGGAAGATATTTTTAAAGAATATGTCAAAGTACTACTATTTGAGTTATCGAAGTGTTACTAATAGTTAAACTTTATTAGGAGCAAAGGCCCAAGATTCAAACGGACACACCAATTTTAGTGAAGTAAAACTTTGTGAGATGCCAGGCAATGGACCATCCTAGAGCTACACTTCATTTGTGAATGACCTAATACTGTAGAGACTGATCGGGTGGACAAACGTCGATTGCCAGAAAAGTGAACATAATCAGAAGTATAGATGGCCTAAAACTTGTTGGAAAAAGCCATACATGAAATATTTCAGTCCGAGATTCTAAACTAAGATCAAAGAGCAATGGAGGGAGGCAACACAGAGTGGTGGATCATGGTGGAATAGTTAAAGGCAATGTGATGCATCGACATGTCTCACAAGAGACTTAATCATCCCAAGGGATGGTTGGAGTTGTTGGGAGCTCTATTTTGGTGAGCAATACAATAGAAAGAAGAGCTATGAATTCAAAGAGTGAATTCCATGGTACCACAATGGAGACTTTCTATGCATTCATCGAATGTCAATAAATAGAAGTGCAATATCATAAAGGGTGATCTTCTAAGTGCGTACTAGGACTTGATCATATGAAGGTATGATCTTCCAAGTGTGTACTAGCAAAGTCTTGTGAGAGACTTCTCTAGAATTCATATTTGCTTGAAGAAACCCCACACAATCAGTGGACAAGGGCAGGTGGGTGAACGATTACTACTAAAGATGCAACAAACATAAGCCCTATAATATGAGTGGAGACCATGCATACGAGGTGCAATCTATATTTCCATCAATCGGAAATGAACTACTTAATAGAGGTGTTAAAGCAAGTGGTCGAAATAGGTATGGAAGCAACAGTGAATGTAGAGGGACTTAGCTATCTAGAATCAACCATCGGGTAGAATGAATGTAGACTAAGAGGAAGTGTCATGATGTTGTAGTGGTGAATCTGTTGATGCTGAAGAGAAAAGAAGGGGCATGGATGCAAGGTGGTGAATGATAGTGTGTGAGCATGAGAGAGCTTTATGGTATCACAAAGGTGGGACTTCTGAATAATCATCAATCACTTGCTCTCCAACATGAAGAACACAATGGTCATGAAAGGGGGTTAAGATAGTGGAGAATGCAATAACAAACTCCTAAGTACTAAGATAAGATAGAAGAGCAATGGTTATAGCACAGCACTTCATGAGGCTTGTTTTGAAATGCTTCTTATCAAAATAGTCCAAAGTAGGTTGGTTTAATATGATGATGATCGATCAAGGGACAGAGTAGGTAGCATGTGATAATGTAGTTTTTTTGCTTAGAGGATTAGATGGTAAAAATGATAAAGTAATTGGTACAATCCCAAAGAGATAACTAAATCTATGTTGAGATAATATTTCTCTTTCAGGATAACATTTCTTACATTTCAAAAGTTCGACGACAAAAAGGAGATAAATTTTAATAGCCAACTCAATGCTAGAAGTACAATATTTTTATGTTCTAAGTGTAACTAAGTAAATATAGAGTACACACAAGGAGGCAAGCGAAACTATGTAAACATGACCTTCTCAACTTTTGAAAGAATTAGGTGAAATCGAGTATCATATTTTTCTTAATTATCTAATAGAGGAACTTTATATACTTAAGGATCATTTAGAGAGTACTTAGAAGAAAGACAATAAATGTCAAAATCCTCATCCATTGTAATTGTTTTATCGAAGATAGGTTATCCATTTTATGTCCCAATAGAGTAACATAAAAAAGTGTTGGTGGTGTGAGCCAACTTGACGGCAGTGGTTATGCAAAAGTAAAATTGTTGGACAAATTTTGTGAAAAGCAAGGCCTCAAATTTTATGGGATGATACTTGTTAAAGCTCTAATACACATTCAACTATTCAATTGCCACAAGATTTTCTAAGGATTAGTATGCAACAAATAATATATTTTTCTTCATTAAAGAGATCCATAAGTACTAATGAAAATCAATACAATTCGATCAACCCCACATCAAAGTTTGAGTTACTGTAGAGCTATAATGTCCGCAAAAACTTAAACAAATAAATCAAAGAAAATAAGAGAGTATTGCAAACTGTTGCAATGAAGGCATTAGATACAGTATCCATACTTTTCAGTTTGTTCATGGCTTAGGTAATTGAACCCCATTTTAATTGGATTTTGTGAATGTTTTTGACTTAAAGTTATAGCTTGCATATAGTCAATGCCCAAGAATAAAACCTCCAACTCGTGACTATAAGATTTTCTATAATAAAGATACGATCCAAAATGTTAATCATCTTAGTAATCCGAAAGATTGGATGACAATATTAATCATCTTAGCAATGTGACACCTCCCGGATGACAAAAGACTGAATGATAACTCTGAATAATATCTAAGGATAGGCGATTCCAAAGCGATAGAAGTGGCCGAACACAGTTCCATTGGCCCAGCGATTGATGTCTTCTATTAAACGTCTTCTTGTTGCGAGATCAGAATAAATTCCTCGAATGAGATATCCATAACATAACAGAACCTTTATCCTGGTGCATTTATCTACATTAATCATGTGATGCTGAGATTGATGTGGGCAGAGACCAAGCATGATTCTAAATACCATCCATTACCGATCGATACATGTGTGTCCCCAATGACAAACCGAGACAAATACCAACTATCTAAATTAGACACATTACGGTTCTGACAAACTGAGACAAATCCCCTCCCCCCCCTTTTCGTATGTTGGTATATCGATACAAATTAGACACAAAACGGTTCTGTCAATGATCGATACATGTCCATTGCCTGAATTATTAAACCCTAAGACCAAAAGAAAAAGAAAAAAAAAACACTTACGACCAGGCCGTTGCCGATGTGATCTGGAGATTTTAATTCTTGAGACCAAGCCGCTGGTGATGTGAGCTTTGGACGCCAGAACCCAGCTATCAGCCTCATGTTCCATCTTACAGTGCAACGAACCTCGTAGGTTTCAGTAACCACCGATTTTGCAGGGAAAAATAATTCAAATTTGTTCACTCTATCTATCTAAATAATAGATTAAATGTACATAAAAAGAGGACGTTAGATCTACAAGGTATCGTTATTTTGCTATCATGAAAAATATGCAACACAACCGATGCACAAACTGTACAATAGGTTGGCAGAGAATGCTTACAAGCCACCGAGAAGCTCACAGGTTTGGTAGATCACTGCCCTGCTACTTGATTAACTCTTTATCTAGCAGCAGACCTTCAGAAAACCATCTTCTGTTCCAACAAGAAACAACCTCGAGAAAGGAAGAATGCTTATCGTGGAGAGAACCGATTGGCTTCTTGTTCCTCTATCGGCAGAATACAATGTCTGAGGCGAAAGTTGGTACCGTCCACCCTGCTGCAAAAGGTACAACCCAACCAGGATGACAAAAAGCGAGGAACAGTATGGAAACAATACCAAGGAGGTATGGCAAAGTTGACAAATAGAGTCTTTCAGAACATCAGAGTTCAAAAATTTAGTGGAATTAGGATCTTCACAGTGAGCTCAAATGAAACAGAAACTAGTTGGCAATAAATCACGTGTGCACGACATCAAACATCATTAGTAACTTCTAAATGGTAAAGAGCAAAATTAATGGTTCACGTACAGCATACAAAGACCAACTACTACCATTAACTCAGTATAACTAGATTCATGAAAAATCTCTTGAGACGAGGATAATAAATATTTTTTTACAAAAATCTCCTGAGAAAAGGATAATAAACATGTAAAGCATACTTGATCTGCCGATGTAGAAAGAGATGTCAGAGCAATTTTATTTCTGGAAATTGAGATCACATCTTGAGACCACATCGCAAAGCTAGTGATGGCATCTGAATGGACTCGAAATACATTTAACTGAGAGGCTAGGCTCCTGCCATGGATACCCATGAAGAACAGTATCAGCTAAAGAATCATATTGCTTCAATTTAACACCAAATGTCAAAATTCAAAATATGACACCAACTTTTTAGTGCTTTTGCCACTTGCAATGCAATTTGCATAATAGAATTTTCTCTTAAGAATTAGGAAACCATTGGATTTATCAGAGAATAAAACTAGCAGCTAATAGTTGAAACTACTCAAGGTCTTATTTTCTTCTTAAACCTCAAATAAACTCAGTACTAAATTAATTAAATTCAATTTGGAGGAGTAATTCATACACCATATAGGGTTTGTGCTTCATGAGGAATCAAGTTTGGGAGTATTTCCCAAGGAAAGATTAGCACATCTTTTAAAAGGAAGATAGTCAAGTATCATGCATTTGTTGTTTTCTAAAGTTGCACCCATATTGTGGATTAATCTCATATACCATCCAATGAATGTAACATAGTGTTATCAAACAATACAAGTATATAACATCTGAACAATGATTATATCTTTAATAACATCTAAAAATTGTACACAGGAAATGCAATATATTAAGCGAATCTTTGTTAAGGAAAAAAAACTTGAACTCTGATTTATCTTTATCATCATCTGTGTACTTCTCCAATTCTTTGGCAAGTTTTAATCAGTGATTTAAAAAGGCGCTCGGGCGCTCGCCTAGGCGCTCGAGCGAGGCGAGGCGAGGCCCGAGCGCCTCGCTTCACTTCCAGGCGGCGCGCTTCAAAGAGGCGTCGTCTGGGCGCTCGCCCGAGCCCAGGGCGCTTCGGGCGAGCGCCTGGGTTAAACCAGGCGATCGAACCAGGATTTTAGGTCTGGTTCGGTCTCCGGTGGTTAGTTGGTTCAATCGAACCAACTAAAATTGATATTAGCTGTCGCTGCCCAACCCTAACCCTGCTCGTTGTCGCTGCCACTCCCGCTCCCGTTGCTTGCAACCGCTGTCGCTGCTCGCAACCGCTGCCGCTCGCCGCTCTTGCTCCCGCTACCCACTGCTCGCCGTTACCGCTATCGCTACTAGCCGCTGCCGCTACTGTTGCCGCTGTCGCCGCTCCTGCTGCCTCCTTACATTCCTACTGCCGCTGCCTCCTTACACTCTCGCTCCCGCTGCCGCTGCCTCCTTACACTCCCGCTGCCGCTGCCTCCTTACACTCCCGTTGCTGCTGCCTCCTTACACTCCCGCTCCCGCTGCCTCCTTACATTCCCGCTGCCGCTGCCTCCTTACACTCCCGCTGTCGCTGCCGCTTCCTCTTTTCTCAGTCAGCACCCCCTTACACTCTTCCTTCTTCTCCTTCTGTATACTGTTAACAGTATACTGTATACTGTTAATATTGTTAGGTTTATTTGAAATTATTAATTTTCAATACTGTTAATAGATTAATAATATATTATTCTTAATTTAATATTATATTTTTATTTAAAATTTTAAATAATTATATTATATATTTTTATATTTTAGCGCCTCGCTTCGCTCGGGCGAGCGCCTGGGCAAGCGCCTGGCGCCTCGGGCGTTTTAGGACCTTAGCGCCTTTTGGCGCCTAACGCTTTTTAAATCACTGGTTTTAATTATATATCATGGAAACTACTTATATGACTAAAAAGAGTAATAAAAGCATAAATTTAGCACCTTCTTAGGTCCCAAACCCGCAAACTTCTGTCAAATGAGCTGGATACAAGCAGATAATCTTCTGGTGCAGCCAACTGAATATCAAAAAACAAAATATCTCTTTAAGTCCAAATTGCCAACTGAATAGATCAAAGGGTATCAATATCAGAAATAAAATATGAAAAACCTCTGGTTTAAGTATTTTATGCAGAGTACCTTCGTAATATAACCATCATGTGCCCTCCAACGGGCAATTATGTTGCCACACCTCACATCAAGCAACCTACAATGACCTGAACTCAGACCAGTTGCAATCCAGGAGGGGAGACTTGAGCCTCCATCTGCTTGAATGTTTTCAGAACCACAAGAGCAAATGGCTGACACAAGAGATGAAAAAGAATATTCAGCAGCATCAGTCTTCCATAGTTGCAGTTTGCGGTCTTGCAAAACATCAATAAACCTGCACAGAATGTCCTGCTGCTTGATATCAATATAAGCCACACCGTGATACATTATCCCATTTAATGAACAATTAAGGCTAAAACTGCCACATTCGAGTAAGGAGTTCTTTCATACATACTAAACCAAGATCAGCAAACCTTAGATGTCATTTGATACTTTGGAATCAAGGAGGAGATATGAAGTAGAGAAGCATTTTAGGTAAAAACTTCAGATACACTAGTTCCAGTTGGAAAATACAAGAAAATTGGTCGTCAAAGAAACATATTTTTTAATTACCTCAGATTTCTGGAGAGCTACCATAAACAAAAATAAACAGACAAAAGCTATGCATCCCACCTTAGTCATAACTTAATAAAAAAGGCTGCATCTAAAAGTTGCGAACTTTTGTCTGAACATTCATGTTACATTAAATAAGATAAGAACGAGTCCATATGTTGTATGCTAGTAGCTTCTTACAGTTAATTTGGTTCCCATCACAACTCTTTCTGAACCAACTGAAAAAAATGTGCAACAAAAATCAACTAAAGAAAAAGATATGAGGTAAGACTCTTCTCAAAGAATTAAGAAAGTAAGAAAAATTAAATTCATGTAATATTATACCATTCAAACATGGCAGATGGCATCTAGATTACCTGACTGAACCGTTTCCCATGCCAGCAACAAGTTTGTTTACCGAGTCTAAGTAATGCATGCAGGTGTACAAACTACCACTGAATGCATTAGACAGTATGCCACCAGTGAGTTCATTGGCTATAAGCATGTTGCTTTGCTCTATAGCCACCTTATTGGCAGTTGGCAACGGGAAGCTTATTGATGATTCGGCATATGCTGATATTAATTTTCCAGTATCACCGTTCCATACATGAATGGTACCATCACAAGAAGCTATCCTTCCACTTACAGACAATGTACATATGTCATTTACAACCTACAAGGTATAAAGCCTTTTTAATTAGAAAAGCATAGCAGAAAAAAAGTTCACTTAGAAAAGTATATGGTCTTGAAAATGCGGTTCCATTCACATGCCAAGAAAAAAATAGGACAGTGACTACAGTCCAAAACCACAAGTCAGACAAATGTTAACAAGGATACCAAGATATTCAAAAAATTTTACCAGCAACTATCAACTATTGATAAGTAGGAATAATTTAAAAGTGTTTTCAAACATCATTTATCATCAAGGAAACAATGATGAGAGTTAAGCAAGAACACGGAGCGGGAGCAAACTGCTAGAAGATGTACTATGTGAGAAATGAATTGTTGAAGCCAAGGATTACAGATTTTCACGCAGCACCTCAGATTAGCAATCAGCAACAAAAATTAAAACAATAAAGCACCCTAATCTTTAGTATAATGAGAATATCATCCTCCAAATTGTACATAGGAGCATCTATGTAACACGGAAATCAATAGGAAGTAGAAAACATTAGCAAACTAGACAAAAATACATGTAAATAAAGCCAGGTTATTCACATGACTAGCATTAAAAAAGAGAATCCATTCAGTTCTAGTCCTTGTTATGAAGGAACAGTGGATATATTGTGACATGCGACTTTTGTAGGCATATTATAAAAACACATCACATTCTTCTGATGTGTACTTATGCTACTAATTCAGAATAATTTTTCTGAGTTGCCCACAGTTATTACTAAAGTTTGGAATGTATGAATGAATGACTGGATGAGAAAAACAAAGAATTGGAACATATATAGTCGTAAAAGAATGAAGTGGGGTTTGGCCAGCATGGTTTTTTGCCATCATATGTTGGAAACTATGGAAAGATAGAATCAAGAGAATTTTCCAAAGGAGTCAAAAACTTAATTCAGACACAGGCAGTTACATGACTTCAAACGATTTCTATTTCCTAGAACCTATTCTTCTTCTGTAGCTTCTTCCTTGATATTCATCATTCTGTCTCTTTCTGTTACTTCTCTGTAGCCTGCTTTTTCTCTTGCCATCCTTGTACTCTTTATGAAACGAGAACAACAGGCTTCCTGTCTCTCCTCAAGAAAAAGAAAGGGATAAAGACTGTAGAGTTTGTGATAAGCAACTTCTGCATATCCAACAACTTTCTATAAAGTCCATCACAAATTAAAACTATTTCAGATCATTTAATGAGCAGCAACCACTGAGTACAGAGGATCTAAAAAAAGTATCAAAAAATTCATTGATCCATAAAACTGAACAAGAGGTTTTTTTCTTGCACATAAATCTTAAACACAGAAGATATCCCCATGATGTAACTAAGAGGAATCACCTATAATTAACCAAAAGAATGAAAATACTATTAAAAAAGTTGTTGCTTCAAAATATTGAAATATCAGGATCAGAAAGAATCCTTGGCAGAAACTAACCTCATCATGGCCATAATAGCCCGATATGCAATTCATTCTTGCTAATTCCCACTTCTGAACACTACCCTTGAATCCAGGACCAACACCTCCAGTATAAAATGTACATTCATCATGACAAACAGCTATTGATCTCACTGCTCCAGGGTGTGCACGGGCTGAGTAAAGAACCGATGCTTTGATCTTCCAAGGTGGTTCATCTTTCAAGCTTCCACTGCGACCAAGAAAATCAGGCGCATCTGAGCTAGCATCAGGACTAGGGAACCAAAACCATGGCATATAATTCTTGAGATCTGTGGTACCATAATGCTGCTCAGAGAGCTTAAACTTTTCAGTATATGGAAACTCATTCATATCTTTGTTGGAACTTAACAGACTTGTGCCACTTTTAGCTCCTTGAGATTGTGGTACAGACCAGCCAACATCATTTAGCAGTAATTTTGCTGGATTGTAGACGGAGGAAGAAATTCTGCCAATACTAAGCCTTTGAGCACTAAAACTTTCACCACTACTTCTATGAGTTTCGCCCACAATATCCCACTGAAAAGTACAGGAAATATTAGGACACCTATTTACATGTGAACTACAAACTGCAAAGGACCCCTGTGCTTCCCTACATTATAGAAGCACTGTTCTTTGTCCCCATCAAAATAAGAGTTCTTGCAGCAGTTCAAGGGATACCTTCCAGTTGTAGTATCTTTGAAGAATTTGCTCCAAAAGAAACCATGTAGAACAGCATTGACGAAGTTTCTCTATGCTAATAAGAGATGCCAAGAAAGGATACAGCAGCAAACTGCAAAAGAGTCGTGCATAATTCAGCTACCAGGACATTGGCAAGGTTATGGGACACTTAGAAACAAAAAGATTCCAAAAGAAACCATGTAGAACAGCATTGACAAAGCTTCTCTATGCCAATAAGAGATGCCAAGAAAGGATACAGCAGCAAACTGCAAAAGAATCATGCATAATTTACCTACCAGGATATTACCAGGACATCAGCAAGGTTATGGGACACTTAGAAACTAAAAGAAAATAGCGATTTCTTGCAGCAGAAGTTGAAAAGAATATGAACTAAACATACACAAGGTCCATTCTACTCTCAATCCGGATGTCCTCTTCCACTTTTTGCTTAGAGATCCTGACATTCCTTCCAGATGCATCAGGTCTGGGGGTTGCTGATTGGGAAAAGGCCAGCTCATCAAACAAATTTTTCAGTTGTGGCAATACATACAAGCTGGTGAAATCTGGCCCAAGCCTTTTACAGAGTGAAATTAGTGCGGCTGCAGCAACCTGGCAAGCAATTATAAGATAGCATTGATAAAAAAGAATATAGATATGCCTTTATGCTTGATTCCATATACTGAGCAATAAATTAGTATGTGGTAAAACACATCTGGTGACAAAAATTTAGTTTAATTGCATAAAACTGAAAAAAGAGATCAGAAGAGAGAACTACCTGAACGACAGATAGATCCAACTGAGTCTGCATAAGAACCCTAACATGGAGGCAAACTTTGTCCTGCAAATTAGAACAATCAACAAATTTTTATAGGTTTCACAAAGTTAAATAAAAACAAGTAATAAATAAAATCAAGAAAACCACCTCACCTGAATCAGCTCTTTTAGAATGGCCTCTTTTGGCATGACCGTAATGAGACCATCTAAAGTAGAAAAACTATCAATCAGAGTTAACACATTCCAGCTACGCATGGGTTCAGGCTTATTGATCTGTGAAACATTGATACATGAGAGAATAATATTTCTAAGTAAAGGCAAGAGCTGTCCGCTGATAAAAGCTTCTCCCAGAAGGCTACCTGGCAACCAAATTGATCATGCTAGATTAGAAGTCCAACTCATCATCAATGAAAATGAAATCGAAGACAATGGAGAGCCCAATTAACTGAAGTACCAATTCTAACCAAAGCATCAATTCCATCAGAACAGAGTCCTTTTCCAAAGGAATGGATTAGTGGTAAGATAGTCTGGAAGATGAAGCATAAGTTAAATGTAATTTAAATGTCTGTTATTACACACACGAAGTCTACTTATAGGGTACCCATGCAGAAAAAGACCTGATGAATTGTGATAGGATAACCAAGCTCATCGCTTGAACCAATCAGTGCCACAGATGCAGCACATGCAGTTACTTTGTTAGGTGGATTGACTAAATTTGCAATAACAAAAGAATGCATCTTCTCCAGATATGCTTGTTTACCCAATTGCTTCCATAAAACCCTCACAAAGGAGTCCTGAAGGAGAGAAACCTTCAGATGAGAATATTGTGATGCCTGTAATGATCATACAAATGTTTAGACAGGAACAATTTTGTCTTTATGAATAATGTTCCATGCAGGTAATGCAATTAGCTTAAAAATATATATATTCACATTGGTAGTGACCTGCCTGTAAAATCTTCTGAATGATGGGCAAAATCAATGCTTTTATAGCAGGAGAACTCAAGCAATTTATAAATTCCTTTAGTAGACACAAAGCTGATTCAGTTTCAATATCCGAAAGAGATGATGTCATAAGGGGTAAGCAGAAAGAGGCACACATTTCTGCAGCAGACGCCCCCATTGATTTGAGGGCTCCTCCACTTGCAAGCTTAGCAGCATACTGAAAGCAGTAACCACTGTTAACCAAAAGCTGAAGTGGTGCAAGAAACAAGAATGCAGACCTGACTGATGGAGAAAAGTATGGTGACTCGAGAAAGCATTTTGCTGATGGCCTCCTGATGAAAAAGAAAAGGTTCAGTGCATGTGCATTAAGTTCTCCTAATGCATATAACTAAAGATCAAAAACAGGATAAAAAAGTAAAGCCATAAAGACAAAATAGAGCAACACTGACACAAAGACAATGTTTTAAAGTAACTCAAGCTGCCTATTCTGTCACATAAACTAAATAATTTCACTGCTTTCCAAAAATACAATCACATGTCCATGGAAGAATATCTTGCACAAAGATGTAAGAATCATGTTATTTGAGAAAGCCTAATATAGAGTTAGTGTTTCAGGGCAGGATCCTCATGAATGGCATCAAAAATACCTTCTCCAATCCCTGTGGATAGATGCTTTAACAAGAAGTGCAACATGAGGAGGCAGTTCCTGAATTGCTCCTGGCATGACACCACTTTCTTTGTATGCAGCAAATGAGACAGTATCAAAAAGTGGTCTCTTCAAATAAAGTTCAGCCAATATGCAACCATAAGAGAATATGTCCTTGGCATACTTATCAGAACATACCCCCAAATATGATGACTTCTGTCTCCAGTTGAGAGACTCTTGAAAGCCCATGGAGAGATTATCATCAGCCTCAAAGCACTCGAGAAGGCAACCCAAATCAAAATCGGATGGAACTGAAGTTGTATCGCTAGTTTTTTCTAGAGTGCCTATGATAGAAAGATCACTTAGCTGAGACTTTAAAGAGCAAGTATAGTCAAGAAACCCCTCCTGGTAATTATAAACAGAATCAAGGTAGCGTGTTTGTTCACAAAATAGAGTAGCTGTCTCTAGATTGTCCAAATACCTAGTTCCTGAAAGAAGTTCCTCAGGATCCAAATGTGAGGATCCATTAGTGATGCTAGATATTTCTTTCCCTTCATGTTGCAGTTGGCACTTGAAACATGATTCTTTTAGGCCATGATACTGAGAATGTGGCGTGACACCATGCCGCATAGGGTGTGGTTTAGTAAAAAGTTGCAAGCGCCCCGTCGACTTTGGTGTTGATGGATTAGAAGTAGGCAACATCACATTCTTGGCTTCAACAGATGCTTCGCCTGAGAGTTTGTAACCAAAGGTGATGTCAATCCAATGATGAATTTGTCGTGATACACGATCACTTTCTAACGCATCACGATGTATCAAAATAAAATCCTCTGGCGATGTTGTCCAAGATGGCAATGCCAGGTCACTCATCTCAGAGTGAAGAGATGTAAAAATTCGAGGATCACAATAGAACTCAGGAATGCACTCATCTGGAGTCCACTGGTAAAGTCTCTGCATGCTTGATGGATACTCATTAGGCTCGTAAACAGATCTCACAGCAGACCGAAGTACTGACAAAGGTAACCTTCTTGCTTTATAACTGCAGACCGCTAGCTCAGAGAGGCATTCATCTGAAACATGATGAGGAATTTCCGACGAAGAATATGTGAAATCCAATTGTTCATCACCCTTGGCCAACCGCCATTTGCTTTTTGTAAGGTCCCTCCACCCAACATCAGAATTTTCATCAGGTTTCACACTGAAGTCTATGACCCAGGGCATTACCATATGGAATGAGTGGTCACCCCACCTTCTACCAGCTAGCTTGTTTAACAAAAGAAGGTACTCATAGTTGCTCAGATCACCTGCCCACCAGCGCCTGAAACTGGTACTCCAAGTCATAGATGTTGACAATCCAAAGTCAGCATAAATTTCTTGACAAGGGCACTCCTCTGCGAAACAACATGCTTTTCTGGAAGCAGAATGAGAAGCTTCTTTCAAGCACGCCATCTCACTAATGTTCAGACATGCCCAAAGTGATTCATTCAAATGTATGCTCGAAGGGCTTATGTTACCATGGGCAAATCCTAACCCATGGATGTATGCTAAAGCAGAAAGAATCTGGTAGGTCAAAAATCTTATGTGCCAATCGGACTTCAAAACTGTGGGGCTATATTTCAAAACATTTTCCAGAGTATATGGAGCTTTAGGATGCAATAAGTATGAATATACAGGTGCTTCTAGAATACCTAAAACGGGGAAAATATTAGGGTGTCTAATACTACCTATAAGATTGCTTGCAGAAGCAGGGTAAGCAACTAACTTTAGAAAGTTTGCAACATCATAGTCAGTAGTTCTTCCTTCTCTAAAAAAATTTACTAATGAACTGGAGTTGTTCCCAAGTGCTCCGGACAAATACTTTAAACTGAGGTTTCTGATTGTGGCATAAGAAGCTCTACCAACATAGGCATCTGGAGTTATTGCAGCAATGACCCTTAAAAGATATTGCTGATCATGAGTGCTAACAGAAATTTCATGACCCACAGCTACCAGACCTTCACCAACACAGATAAAAGAAAGTAAGGAGACATCTTGCTATGAAGATTGTAAGTCATTTCTGCCAATATTATTGCCAACATCTCTTTGGCACTGACCTTCCTCTGATGGAGACTGTTTATCTTTACCACCTGCACTATCCCCAAGACTTCCTGAAGAGTCGCTAGAACTGCAAGGACCCCTTCAAGTCAAGAGTTAACGGATATATACAAGCTCTTTTCAGTATATGAAATATAATGTGATGACTTACATATTCTGCCCCAAGGACGTAATCTTTTCATTAAATAATCCCATCAGAACAAGTTGAACAGAGACCTCCTCACTGCAATTTTGCTCCATCAATCACAGTTTACTAAAGTAAGGTGTAATGAAAAAGCAGGCAGATAATTTTTTCTTTGAAAAAACATTTCATATTATGTTTACTTGAACAATAAATTCTAAAACTTAGTTTTACCTTAATAAATTGTCTACTTCCCCCGTCAAGTAGACCTACAGTAAGAAGAAGAGGGATCATATACCAGCAAAAGTAGTGACATAAAACCAACTGATTGGTCAAGTGGTACTCATAACAGATTCAAAAAAGTTCTACACTGAAATGGTGTTTTTATGAACGTAATTTTACAAAATATAGGGCAATCCACTCAAATATAGAACTGGCTTAGCATTAGTTATTCTTTTAATTAATAGCCCAAAAGACAAAAAAAAAGTGGCTTCAATGAATAAAGAGATTATTTGTATCTTAAGTCTATCATCAGTGTTTGGAGTCCTAAACATCAAACTAACTAAATTATCCATGGTATAATCTCTAAACTGAAATATATAGTATAAAATTAAACAAGTTACTACTCGAACAATAATTTCAATTCATTATGGAGGTAATTTTCAACGAAACATGGTCCAGATTGAATAGACTGAATCGCATGCTTGGCATTCTTTTAAGACTTTACTCAGATCAAATACCTTAATGATGATGATGTAGTTGTTTTGAAAAATAAAAATAAAACTCTGATGTTGTTGTAGATGGGAAGAAGATCTTCAAAGCCTCTTCCATCAGTATGGAATAGCTGACGCCTCATAGGACATCTAAAGGTTAAGTAGGCTCTGCGTAAGATTTACTGACCCAGCTTCAACCATCCAAATCTAATAGTGCATGTACAACAAATGAAAATTTAGCAAATATAAAATTTAAAAGAACAGTAGATTTGTATTTACGTTTTAAAGCTCCTGCAACCAAAGAAAAGCATTTCACCAACTAAGAGTCGGTGCTTGTTCTAGAAACCATAGTAGACTAAGAAATCTCTGAACTAGCTGAATGATAATATAAGAGTAAGGATTCATATCCAGGAGCTTTTCTTCAAGCAACAGCTTTTAAGGATGATATTTACAGAAATGATCCATGGTAATAGCCTCGTCACTTGTAAGGATCAGCCTGTGAACGTCGAGTGGCATAAGTGTGGTATAAAGGTGTACATGTCTCTTGTTGATTTCATGAACATGGAAACATGATCTAAAATGCTGGTCGAAACCAGTAAGTACCGACCTAGTTTCGATCTAGCCAAGAACAATGTTACTCTCAGAACAAACCACAATCAAATTACCCAACCATCTCGTGATATGATGCCAGATCTACATAACGTGGTAATGGCTAGTTAAGTTGACTTCATCATTCTTTCACTGGGGAACTACTATCATCATTTCATTCAACTCAACTACTCTCCTTCCAATTTCACACCCGAGTACTACCGTTTTCTTCTCCGGCTCAATCCCAAGCTATTACCCTTAAAGCAACGTTAGAATCAAAAACCAATTGGACTTTCAAGTGCCACTTTCTAAAGAATTAACTAGAAAAGGAAGAATGAATTTAGGGAGAAAGAAGGAATCGGACCTGAAGGACGGCGGAAGAACCGAAGGGGAGTGCGGTGTCGGAGACCCCATAGCGGAAGAAGAGATCGGTCGAGAGATCAGAATGGACCTGCCGCTCCAAGCACTCGAAGCAAGGATACAACTGCTCCATCGTCGCCGGAGGAGAAATTCAAGCGGCGATCGCCGGCCCACGCTCCGATCTGATCCCGATCGTGCGGTCGCAACCCTCGATCGACTCCGTTGATATACACCGCGGCCCACGGCGTCGAGGGGCTCACTCCGCCATCGGACGGATGATTTCGTTGAGATGAGATCGAGTCGAACGGCTTCGAGTCCATCAGACAGAGTGATTATTGGTGTACAAAAGTTTCTGATCGCAACCCATTTCTAGTTCGGATTCGGATGCGGATGCGGATGCGATTTATGGGATTCATATCCGGATCCATAAGCATATGAATCCGAAACGAGGAACCATCAGATGATAGAATTTGAGGTAAAATTAGATAGAGCAATTTTTGAGAAAAGTCTCAAATTTATTTTGGATCCCCTCATTTCCAAATTACCTACAAAGAATCCTTTTATCCTCATTTATAATAGTCGAGACCCGATTAGACCGAGTTATTCAAACCGGTTCGATGTTATTAGTTTTGACGGGTTCCGATAATTTTGGTTCAGTTAAATTAATTATTATAATGTTTCTCGAATAGAATTAGAAACGCGATTATTCTCATTTCAAAAATATTATAATTTAATCCTAATCAATTTAATTTCTTACAAACATTAATTATTAACTTAAACATATATATTAACATTTCAAAAAAAATATTTTATGTTGATAGTTATTATGTAATTTTTGAATGAAAATTAAGAATGTTTTGACGTATTTCAAAATGAAAGATGATAAGTTCTTAATTTCTTTTAGGTAACCTTAAAGCTTATAATTTTTTTAAAATTCATGTAATAGTCATTTTTATTACTATAAAGAATGATATAAAAATATTCTTAATTAGAATATTTTTAATACGCTTACAATATTTTTGTCAGTTAATCAAAACACATTATAACTAATAAAAAATTATAACTCGAATTCTATTAATTAAACTTCATTTGGAGGTATTATAAAATTATTAATATATGAATTTGAATTATTTTAGATGAAAATTTATGAAGCATATTTCAAAATAAATCATGAGAAAAATTCTATTTTTTTTTCCACTTTCTCTTAAATTCAGGTCTAAATATTTTTTAAAAAAATATTACAATATTAGATAAATTCCCGAATAAAAAGCCTATGTTATTATATTTTCTCGTAAAATACCAATATTTTGGTATTTTCTCTGACACAATTATTTAATGATAAAAGTACCCTTAATTGCTGCTTCTTTTTTTGTTTTGGTTCTCCACACACTCTCTCCCTTTTCAAATTCATTATATTGAACCAATATATTTTATCTAACCAACTCAGTCAATTAAATCAATTTAACAAATCCAAAACTTAAACTTTGTCCAAAATAAATAACAATAAATGAAATAAAAATAAAAATTACTATATATGTAACAATGAATTATATATAAAATATTGTAAAAAATAAAAAAAAAATTATGAAAAGAGCAATGATACAATTTCGAGAAACCTTGGAATTGACCAACAAATGTATAAATGATAACTTTTTTCTTTTTAAGCCTTTAAAATGAGTATTTTTATTTATTATTTCAAACCTCCAAAGAGGAAGCCACATATACGTTTATGGATTCACTTCATAATATGTATATAATGAAAGCTACTCCGATATATGTGGTGTTGAGTATATAACTCTTTGTTGGGAAATATATGTCTTGAATATGTAGAAACGATCATGTGCACAAGTCAATCAGATACTTGACAAAATTATAAGCAGACTAGAAGACAAATTTAACATGTAAAATATATATATATATATATATATATTCTTTCACTATAAAATAATATGTTTGCAAAATTCTTTCTAAACTAACTTAATGATGTCAAATACCATGAAAAAACAAATATGATCTCACATGAGTTTCAAAAAAATTAGGGACCAAACTAAGAAGAAGAAGAAGAAGAAAAAAGAAAAATCTTAAAAATCAATACCCAAAAAATATGATAATTATATTTGAATTTGACTATGCAATTATCGAATCTTTCTCTTCTCTCCACGTGACAGGATTTCTTTTATTTTCCACTTACTATGATCTTTTTTTTTTCTTTTTCTTATCATCTAAGATATGGTTTTAATTAATGATATGGTGATGCTGCATGTGGGTCATAAATAAAATGCTATGCTTCAGATCAGTGAAGAGTTGACTTTTAAGGAAACACCAAAATATCCTCATTAATTCCCATCACATTCGTCCATGTAATTTTTGCCTTAGTTCTGTAAGACACTCCCAAAACACGCCATGTGCATCTGCTTCATCTCCATTCCCCACATCTACACAGCAGAAAGGAAGCCCGAAGCTCACATTCCTTACATCTCCTCCTCTTGGTTTCCTTCTTCTTCCTTCAGCAAATGTCTACTTTACGGTGAGCTTCTTGATTGCATGTTCTTGTGGTGTACAGATCGCATGTTTGACTCCAAGGTTTGTGTGGTTGACTTAGGTTGGAAGGCAAGGTGGCGATCATCACCGGGGCCGCGAGTGGCATCGGCGAGGCCGCCGCGAGGCTCTTCGCGTCCAACGGCGCCACTGTCGTCGTTGCGGACATCCAAGATGAGCTGGGCACTCGAGTGGCCGCCTCCATCGGGCTCGGCCGATGCAGCTACCGGCGCTGCGACGTGACCAGGGAGGAGGAGGTGGAGGCGACGGTGGACTACGTGGTGCGCACCCACGGCCGGTTGGACGTTATGCTCAGCAACGCCGGCGTCCTCGGCCCGTTGGCGTCCGTCCTGAACGTGGACCTGGGTGAGATGGACCACGTCATGGCGGTGAACCTGCGCGGCGCAGCCGCGGCCGTGAAGCACTCGGCCCGGGCGATGGTGGCCAAGGGCACCCGCGGGTCCATCATATGCACCGGCAGCGTCACCGCCTGCCAGGGCGGGCTCGGTCCGGTGGCCTACACCGCCTCCAAGCACGCGCTGGTGGGGTTGGTGAGCGCCGCCGCCGGGGAGCTGGGCCTGCACGGGATCCGGGTGAACTGCGTCTCGCCCTTCGGGGTGGCGACGCCGCTGGCCTGCGGGTACCACGGCAGGAGCCCGGAGCAGGTGGAGGAATCTTCCTGCGCCGCCGCCAACCTCAAGGGCGTGGTGCTCAAGGCCCATCATGTGGCGGAGGCGGCGCTCTTCCTGGCCTCCGAGGAGTCCGCGTTCATCAGTGGCCATAACTTGGTCATCGACGGAGGGACCACCGTCGTCAATTCCTGCTTTCGGATGATGAGATAAAGCGTGGTAAATTGGCCGAGAGGATCCAAGGAGGTGACGAAGACGATGGATTGGATCCTCACACCTCTTGTCCTCGTTCCTTCATCTTGTGGGAAGGAATCATCTCTTATATCACCAAATGAATACGTGCAAAACCTTTGGATTTGTAATCTTATTCCAATTCGACATCTTCGCAGCTTCTTGTTTATCGTCGCTCGAAGTCCAGAACGCGAATATAAATCAACATGTAACGTCATATGCAGTGATTCAATGATTTAACATATTACATAAATTGATAGGCCATCAAAATTCAAGATGCTATTAGAGTCAGAGCCATCGGACTTAATATGCATCTATAAGTTTGCCTTAAATATGAGAATTACGAGGTTACGATTAGTCTTTAAAAAAGAACTAATAGAAATTAATAGTTAACCGAGATTAACTACGATGACATGTAGATAAGTCTTTTAGATTTCGTATGGTACAGCAAAAAAAAGACTTTTCTACAATATGTTTCGTATTTTAC